TGTTGGAAGGGGGGGGGGGTTGATTGTCCCGTCCAAAAGCTGTTGGTAATGTGAAAAATAATTCCTTTTTGAAGGTTCGCATTCAATATGCCATTTACTAAAGTAATTTTCATAAACTGAATACGGAGTGTTGTCACATGACAAGCTTACATGTACGGTACCTCGGTGGGACTCGAACCATGACTTCCTGCTTACTAGTGCAGACATCTCACCACTCGACCACCAAGCAGGGTGACCGTTTTAGCCGAATTTCGGCAAAATTTGACAGATTTTTTTTTGAAAACAAAAGAGTTTGACAGAAAATTTAGCAGAGTTAATTTTTTTCAAGCAGATTTCTAGCAAAACTCTGTAACATTGGTGATGTGACATAAAAGTATTTCAGATTTGAAAAATATATAGCTGATTCGTTTTGAAAAAGCTTCAATGTGAGGTTCCCTGATGTGTATTAGTATACAGTGAAGTACTTTAGACCGTTGTAAGCCGGGCCCCTGTTCAGTGTTGTCTCATTGCATGATGTGTGCTCCATCAGCTGGGGGCTACGGTTATTTCCAAGTGTCCCAACCATTTTGGTCGGGATTTTGGTCTCTTTTTTGCATGAGCGCCAATGCAGATGTGTCACTGTCAGGGTCCAAGCGCTATATGAAAACAAAATTCTCTGAGTTTTTCCCTTATATTTCCCTGAGAAATGTTCATGAATGCATGAGAAATATATTTCCCTTTAACGAGGTGGCTGGGAAGTCAAGAGGTGGTTGCAGCAAAGCACCCGTACATTCGTAAAATACTGGGCCCAATTTCACGGCGCTGCTAAGCACAAACATTTGCTTAGCACAAAAAAAGTCTGGCTTATAAAAGCAGGTTACAAGCCAAAACTCAATGTGATTTTCATGCTAAGCAAACAACAGCCAAATACCAATCACGAGCAATATACATCACATGGAGTTTTGGCTCGTAAACTGCTTTTATATAAAGCCAGACTTCTTTTGTGCTAAGCAAATTTTTGTGCTTAGCAGCACCGTGAAATTGGCCCCTGATAATACACAGTAGAGGTGTGTTATATTCAAGATTAACTCTAAAAAGCCAACATGCAGCCAGTCAATCAATGAACACAACTTGGCCAGGAAAAAGATGCATACATGTACAGTATGTACATCGAACTGGCAAAATCCTTTCTGGGTCACTGCCAAATTCCCAGAGTTTTCCCCTGATTTTGGTGTTTCTCCCCAATTCCCTGAGTTTTCCCTGACTGGAAAAATGGAAACTCATTTTTGAGGTTTTTCCCCCTGATTTCCAGAGTGACTGGGAACCCTGTGTGCCCTCTTTACAGTCTGTGTTTCTCCCAAATTCCCAAAGTTTTTCCCCAACTGGAAAAATGGAATCTGATTTTGAGGTTTTCCCCCTGATTTCCAGAGTGACTGGGAACCCCGAGTACCCCCTTTAGTCTGTGTTTCTCCCAAATTCCCTGAGTTTTTCCCCAACTGGAAAAATGGAAACTCATTTTCAAGGTTTTTTTTCCTGATTTCCAGAGTGATTGGGAACCCTGTGTGCCCCCTTCACAGTCTGTGTTTCTCCCAAATTCCCCGAGTTTTTCCCCAACTGGAAAAATGGAAACTCATTTTCGAGGTTTTTCCCCTGATTTCCAGAGTGATTGGGAACCCTGTGTGCCCCCTTCACAGTCTGTGTTTCTCCCAAATTCCCAGAGGTTTTTCCCCAACTGGAAAAATGGAAACTCATTTTTGAGGTTTTTCCCCCTGATTTCCAGAGTGATTGGGAACCCTGTGTGCCCCCTTCACAGTCTGTGTTTCTCCCAAATTCCCAGAGGTTTTTCCCCAACTGGAAAAATGGAAACTCATTTTTGAGGTTTTTCCCCCTGATTTCCAGAGTGGCTAGGAACCCTATGTGCTCCCTTCACAGTCTGCAGTTCTCCCAAATTCCCTGAGTTTTTCCCCAACTACAAAAATGGAAACTCATTTTCGAGGTTTTTTTCCCCCTGATTTCCAGAGTGACTGGGAACCCTGTGTACCCCCTCCATGCTTTGCGTACCACACAGTGAATGACATCACAGCTCACCTTGAAGTCTTCCCACACACACTGTCATTCATCAGAAAATAAAACCTCTTCTTTTCCTTGTCGCAACGATTTTGTATTCGTATGAAAAGGACTTCAAAAGATTGGGTAGGGTTTAATCTTTTTCGGGGGGGGGGGGGGGGGGGGTTGAGGCGTGCTTGTACACGTGTACATTTAGGTCCGGTAATTTAACTGTGTGTGGTCACAGAATTTTGAGCCCAAAACCTACATTGAAGAAGTCGGCCACACTCATCTACCCCCCCCCCCCCCCATTAAAAACAGACAAGGTTTTTTTCTGGTCATGCAGCTACCACAAAATCAACATAGTTGGGGTGGGGGAAAGGGGGAGATTTTCAAAGTGGATAAACTTTGGCACTATTGGTGGCGCTTTTTGTTGCAGCATATTTGCCGACACGCGAAATTTGGCCGACAGGACCACTCTGACGACAAAAACAAATTATGAGGAAGGGGTGTGAACTTCCCACCCCATCCCTCCCCCCCCTCCCCCCCCCCCCATCCCCCTTTAGTGAGGCCTTGATTTTATTGGTTGTAAATGCAGACCACAAATGAATTGTTTACAAGCTGAAATGTGAGCATGAGGGAGTTGAATTCTTGGACAGGGTGTTGCCCACTGTCCACCCTGGCCTGCCAGCTTGCCACAGGGGAAGCTTTCCGTGAAGGACAGAGACAAATTGACGACTCTGCCCACTACCCTAAATGCAATTATAAACACCCACACTGCTATAGGGGACAAATTGTGTCTGGTGTAAACATATCTAAGTAAGTAAACTCCAGTCAACATTTTAGCTAGGGTTGGGACAGAATCAATACATTTAATCCAGGAAAAGAAAATGGGGACACTAAAATTTTGCATTACATTTCACATCCGTGTTATTTCATCCACTCTGAAATGTGTTATCAGCGAAATGCAAAAAGGAAACGAACTGAAAATCGTTTCCGACACTTTAGAAAGGATTGGCGATAATGGCGGCGGTGGTTGAGTGAATTCCACCAGGAAGTTTTGTTAAACATGTTTGAGTTTTATGTTTCCGTAACTTTTGACGGATTATTGCTTGTGTAGAATGGGAATGTAGGGGAATTTCCCAGCTAGCTGTTTCCGCTAGTCACTCTTCCATGCTATTTTTGTTGTATTACTTAATCTGTACGTGCAAAGATACATGTACGTGTAAATTTAAGAGTTGGGGGGGGGGGCAAAATGTCCCTGCCCCCCTCTAAAACTGATAAATCGAGAATATGTTGAGAAATACAGGAATTTTTTGGGAAAAATATGTTTTGCCCCCCTCTAGAAAAAATCCTGGCGACGCCCTTGCATAATACGGATCTGTTTGTGCGTAAAAACAACCCCAAAATAAGTGCCATTTTCCCACAATGGTTGCAGATGCCTAAAGTAGAAACACTATTATGTGTGAGTGAAAATAAAACACCGAAAGGTCAAATTCATTAGTGCATCGTGGAAGTTTGTTTCAATAAGACGTTGATTCTAATGACCCCCAGAGCACAAATTACATGTATCTGTAGTTAAAATAAAATATCTTGACAAATTGGTGAAAAGAATCTTTAGGAATATGACACACAGAAAATTAGGAATTTATATTTTCCGTAGAAGTGATGTCCAGAATATAATGGTTGTGCTACTGCGCAATGGAACCCTCCTAACATTTTTGGACAGTTTTGTTTAGCTGCTAAATTCTGTTTTAAATTTTTAAAATATTTTACATGCATAATTGTATTCCCAGGCGCCATTTCAAAATAGTTAAAGAGTGCAGCTTTTCCTTTTTTGAAAATCAAGACCAGGAAATTCTATTATGTGTAATTTTGTGAAATTTCTTCAAATTTTGTGAAGCGGGTGTGACATTTGTAAGCACTGCTTTCTAAATTCCTTGCTATTTCAATTGTTCCTGATATGTGAGGCGTTCTGGCGAAATGATACAGAACTGGGCAGAATTTGAAATGAGGGTTTGCAGTTACATAGACTAGGAAAGAGAATAAAATGATACATAGAATACCGTTTGTTGCACGTCAATCGGACATGCCATTGACAAGTTATGGCTGTTTATAGTTCACATTTATGGACATGTCAAAACACTAAAATACTGAGAAAAAGGCCTGTAACATTCATGTTTTATATCCATGAAAATGAAACATGTGTTTCTCTTTATAAAATACACTGTTATTCTGTGATTCGTTTGTTATTTCTTCAAAAATATGCGTACCGATACTTAAAGGGAATATACATATTTGCTTTTGCTGTAATTTTCAGAAATGGATGGAATTGGGGGTTGGAAATATATATAGCAAATATAGTTACACTGACTTTTTTGAGGTTTTGGGTTCGAAAATGCTATAAAAACCAAGAAAAACAATCATTTTCCTGTAGTCTGGTTCCCTGACTCCATATAAGACAAAACAGAGCAGTTTACATACATTGGGGAATTGTAAGGTCAGGGAACCAGTCTAGCTGGCTTGTACCCGTTCATAGGTGTGTAATCGATTGCAAACAAGTGCGATGGTCAATTGGGGCCAGTATTTGAAAAAAAGCCAGTTTTTTCCAACGCTGGTCGGCCGACCAGCGTTGGAAATTGATACAAAAATAGCACTTTTCTTGATAATGACAGTATACCAGGTGCCATGATTTTACAGGGTGCTTTACACTGTCATTCACTAACAGTCCAGCAAGGTATTTCAAAATGATTTGTTAGTTTTATTTTTTGATGTTTGCAAATGTTGTATTTTCCCTTTAAACATAACAATTATCAATAAATTTGAAAATCAGAAAAAGTTCATTACTGTTCAGTTTTTTTGCTTTTTTCTCCATCATGGTCTGTGCCCAATTCTGTCTCATTTTGCCAGACTAACACCAAACATATATTTTTTTCTTTCTTTATTCTAAAAGCATCAGATTAGTGATCTCCTGTCGTTATGACTTTTCCGTATCGTCCATTTTATCTGCCGAACAAATTAGTCCTGTCGAGAACCTTTTTATCTGTTTGACTGATGAGGACACTCGCCAGATAGTAAGTGCATTAAGTTCTTTGTGTTTCTTATCAAGTGGTCAAGGCCCGGATTAATTGTCAGTGTGATAAAGTAAGGCTCTAGATAATGCGGTTAGGAAAGTTGCATGTACAGTTTTCCAATGTCTCGTGTACTTGGCGAGGCCATTCATTTCGTGCTCAAAAATGTCAGCATCATTTTTTTTTTTCAAAATTTTGTTTACGCAATACACAGTTTAAATTCTCTTCAAAAGTCTGTTTATTTGGGTTTTTTTTATAGGTAATGGAAGCAATTTGCAAAAACTGTGTTTTTGCTGATTTAAAGAACAATATTAAATCGGAAGCAGGTTATTAAAGAACTTACCGTTTGCAATTTCAACTCAGCAGATATATTTTTTGAGAAAACTCTGAAAATGCATCTTCTTTTTTCATGACGCAAAGCATCTATAGGTTCCATTGACATTGCGATGGTTTGGTCATAACTGCCCTCAATTTACCTTATTGAGTTAGTCTGCATTTTGTTTGCAGTTATTTACACAATTTTGAACGGGTACAAGCCAGCTAGACTGGTTCCCTGAACTTAAACAATTTTTTGACGTCTACATGTATAAATTGCTCCATTTCATCTTAAGTGGGGTCAGGGAACCAGACGACATGAACACGATTGCATTTCTTGGTTTTCCCAGCATCTCGAACACAAAACTTCAGTGTAACAATATTTGCTATAAAATACTAACCCCCAAATCGATCCATTTCTGAAAATTACAGCAAGAGCAAATGAGGTATAGTCCCTTTAAACACCTAGGCCCTATCTTTTATAATTGAAAAGCATTGATGAATTGTGAGTATTAGTGATTGAAAGTTGACTTTACAATGTAGTATCAGACCCAAAATTTCTCCTTGTTCCGACCGATTTGTTCCTTTCCAAATTTGTTCATATCAATACCATGACCAAGCTCTTTCCTTCCTACTCCCCCAGCCAGAAATCTCCCACGGATTTCTCTTCACTAAGGAAGAACCCGATTAAAATAAATGAAAAACAAACTTCTGAAATGCTGATCACGTTTTGGCAGCGGAAGATGAAACACCAATGTTGCACAAGTTCTGGAAAATAAAAAATGCTGATCAATTTTTCTTTTTGTGGTCGGACGCAAAGCCCAAAGAAATTCAATTTTGAAGGATGTTACTGCCCGAATTCTTGGCAGGGATCACCGGTAGTGTTGTTTAGGAGAACCCATCAAAAACTGTTGTAACTGTTGTGAAGAAAATTTGGAATAAACAGCTTTTTTATGATGTTGAACTGCGTCTGTTGGCAGGAGGTCTAGAGTTTTGTGTGCGTAGGAAGAAGAAGTCATATCCCATGTTTTTGCGCAAGGTCCCTGGTGGTTTGCAACATGCTTGGAACAGGGCCAAAACAAAGAGACTTGTTTTTCATTAGGAAATTTTGTATCAAACTTTTTGAGGTTATGGCTGTTCTGTATTTCAGTCAACTTATGGGGAACAATTGAGAGTTACATGTACATGTTGTCCTTATAATGGCTCCATGGTTTACCTATCATTCAGTAAATTTGGGGTCCACTTTTTTTTCGTGTCCCTGTTACATCTGACATCTATGATTTGATAATTCTGATGCACTCCTTAATGCAGTCATCCTCCAAGAGTGATTATGAATAGCATTAGCAAACTACCTCCCCAATACATAAAAAAAAATATCTGAAGTCATTCTTAATGATACTTGAATGGCAAATTACAAAGAACCAAGGTAACAGGGACAGGAAAAATGTCACACTTTGAACCCTAAATTTATAGAATGATCGTCCATGTGACATACCGGCACATGTGCTTGGAACACTCTTAAAATTGTTCCATTTTGTATCAATTGATATAATATACAATTCTGACTTGATGCTTGACGAATTTTGTTTTGATAAAGTCTGTTACTTCAGTATTGCATGAGACTTTTTCAGCAACTGAGTTTTAAAAACATTCAAATTTACATTATTATATAAATGTTTCAATTTGAATAACGATCATTACACACCAGGCCAAAACAAAAGACGTTTTTGTGTGGCAGATCTTTGCGACTTACATTTTCAAAAAAGTTGCACTCTTTAGTGCGCATAAATATGGGTCAGTTTGTTTGTATTCTAAGTTATCACCGTTCCATGTGTGCTGTGCGTGTGCCGTTCGGGGGCCAATAAACTTTTCACAAGGCAAAAAAGATAAAGAAATATCCATTGTTGTCCAGCAGATTATACCATGCAAACTTTGGCAAGGTTATTTAAAATAGGTGCGTGGTCATTCATACTTTTATAATTTCTGGTGCACTGACCACAACAATAAGCTAAGCCCGAGAGGAAATAAAATATACAAAAAGGAAAAATTTCTAAAGCATTCTTTAGTGATCCTGAGCACTGAAACGTGAATTTACCGCCAAAAAAAAATCACCCTGAAATGCGAGCGTTGGTGCGTGCAGTATTTGTACTTTACGTCATCACGGTGAACAAAAGTTTGAATAAGGTGTGGGTTTTTTTTTTCTTGCCAACAATATGTTATGGATGAGAGAATGGCGTGGAATTTTCAAAAAGTTTGGGTTATGTGCAGTGTGTGTGAAAAACCCCATATTGTCTTGTTTTGTAGTTGTAGGGACATACATGTACACCCATCTGTACGAGGCATTTATGGGGACCGAAAACGCTGTGGGGACAGCAGAAAGTCCCCATGACTTGGTCCGAAGTTGCCTAATAAAAAAAAAACTTCCCCATAATGCGGTGTAAGCCAGGGCAAACAGGATTGGACAAAAACACAATCAGTTCAGTTGGGATTGATGTTCGAAGTTGACTGATTATGATTACATTTTATCTGTGAAACTGGTTTAACAGTGCTCCTTTTTAATCTCAAGTGCAATTACTGAATTAAGAATAGATCAGCAAACGTTTTGCATAAGTTTTGTTTGCATTTCAAACATGATGGTCGGACGTGTGTGTGTAACCAGGACAGAGTGATGGTACTTTTTATGTTAAAATCTTCTACATTAAAGGCGTGTTGGAACATTTGCAATTTATACCTAGCGATTTAACGTGAAAAGCCTTGTTCAAAGTGACGATAGGACTGGTATCAAATACCCTGTGAAATTATTCCGCCAGAAATGGTATCGTTTGGAAGAAAACATTAATTGAAGGTGGTTTTAAAAAAGTGTGCCTGCGGGCACATTTCTGTAACGAAATAGCAACAGAATCCAGTTGTGAAACCAAAAATTGTGCATACATGTTTTCTCTGATTTCCCAAAATGTATATCCTCTTGAGCTGAGTTAGTTGTGAAATGCACCCTTTGTAAAATTTGAGTAATTTTGTTGCTCCAAACGAAAAATCAGCAAACAGTCCTATTTGCCTTCAAATTGTACAAAATACATTGTACATGTACATTACAGTGTCACAGATTATTCTCAGTTTAATTGGGTGTCGATGAATAATTCAGGTTGCCACGATAACTAAGCATTTAGGAACACTTTTAGTCGCTGTCAGAAACAATTTGCTGGTGTTCCCTTTGAAAAATCAGCCCCTGCAGTGTGTGGACCGTACCATAATCCTGCTGTGAATTGCGGGGCATTGTAAGCCTTCACTAAAGCTCTTACACGATTTACCAGCAGCCAATTACCATTTTTCACTGTGTACATGCACTGCGGTCGTGATCATCCCTCCCTTGGTGGTCCACTTGGTTTTCCCCGTGGTTAAAATGGAATAGTCCTGTTGTGCATAATTATATTGCTGTCCTTTCCTTTCCTGTGCAGGTCACTCCCACTCCAGCGCTCACAGAGGGTAGATCGTGAAAACAGCAAGTTGCATGTGTCAGTGCTTGTGTGTACACACAACAGTAACACAGCTCCGTGCTGGACAGATCCGTGCCTGAACTAACATCATCGAGGGCAGTAATGTATACAAGCCAATATCTTCTCATGGAATAACTGCAGTCTGCAAGAAATTAACGAGTTCAGTTCCAGCGAAGGCGTCGATACAATTTACGGGAGACACCGAATGCTGAAAAAAATCTGTTGACACGAGTAGAATGTGCCGTGGATAAATTTTGTTGGTGAAACGGCGGAGCAGAATTTGACAGCATTTGCTGCCGTGATTATCTATGCAGGGTGAATTTCTACACAGCGGCACTCGGCGTAAAGGTGGCAAAACTGACGGCCTTGGACGGAGGACGTTGAGAAACTCAGGAAATGAGGACTTCGTACATGACACGTTCCTGTTGATTAGTTTGTGAAGCACATGTACGCTGTACAGGGTTTTGGTATACGTGGAAATATCATTAGACTGTAAGTGTAATTGACGGTGTTTCTGTTGGATGGACCTAGAGTGGTCGTGTGCTGCCTGTTGCTGATTCAGACCGCCGCGGAGCCCGTCCATTAGTTGAAACAACCATGACTTCCAACTTCCTAACCAGATTACTAAAGCGGGGGTCGGGGCCGCCGCGTCCCCAAGTGGACATGCACGCACTCTTCACCAGCGCGCAGATGAGCACGATGATCCTCCAGGGACAATTATCGGTCCACGAGCCGTGGCGACGACACAAAAAGAAGCCCAAGATCGTCTACGTGTGTCTGTACACCAACGACTCCAGCCCGTTTATCGTGTGGTACACGGACAAGGCGCACAAGAAGCCCCGGGGGTTCTTCAACGTGAGGGGCGGCAAGATCGCGCCCGTCGGGGAGTTCAGTTTCCAGATTGCCTTTAAAGACAAAACCAGCCAGATTTACAAGTTCAACACGTCAAGCTGGGAGCGACGGGAAGAATGGCTGCATTTGCTGCGTAAGGAGAGTCGCAAGGAAGTCCAGATGCCGTTGATTGAGACCATTTGCAATCAGGACTACCGCGTCAGTCAGGACGACCTGGCCATCACCATGACGGCGGAGCAGAGGGCGAGGCAACAGCAACTGCGCCCCGAATGGAAGGGGCACCGCCGGACTGTCAGCGCCGGATCCCCGTCGCCGCAACGCTGCGTCGTTCAGCTGCAGAGAAGCAGAAGTCAGCCGCACATCCAAAAAGGGCGTCTCATCAAACGGAGACCGACGGTCCTGGAAAAGCATTCGCCGACGCTCGGCCAGGCGGTCCAAAACGAGCGGAGATTTATACGCACGCCGGAGGTTTGTCGTAGCTGAGAGATTTCTCCTTTGCCATTTTTTTTCTTTTCTCGCATTTATCAAATTGTTTTTAAAATTTGCATATTTATACAATTATTTTGTCTTGAGTACTCCTTTTTCTGAAGAGTACTTTGAACACGGAGCTCAACGTGTAAGGAAAAGTCACAATTTTTGGTCACGGTCTGTGAAACGGTGGTTTAAACGAAGATGGGATTTTAAAAACAATTACATACACGTCTCTTGCATACTCTTACTTTGGATGGGATTATTTTTGGCCGAAAAACACCATCCAAATTTTAAAACTAAGTCAAACACCACATTTACTGGCTCTTGAGAGTCATGCGTACAATATTTGTACGACACTTCTCACCGTGCATGTAAATTCATACATTTATGTATTTTGCAACACTCTGAGACGATTCAACCTGTTGCTCGTACCTGCGAATACCTCTGGCGTTAACTGGTAAATTCTCAGGATAAAAACAAAATATTGGCTTTCAACATCTCGACTTCTCAGTCGCTGAGAAATATTTCAAGAAGTCAACAACGGCAACTTTACAAACAACAAAAACAATTTCAACAAAGTTTGCATTGCATTATGTTGCAAGAAGGGAATAACCATCTATCAAAAGAAGAAAACAAAATAAAAATCAAAGTGACTTTCTTAACCCGTTGAGCTCTAGTGTAAACGGAGGCTGCCTTATTATAACTGATTAATTTCAGAAAAATTATCAGCTGAATGTAATGTATCTACACTGTATATATATGAAATAATTAATATTAAATGTATGAAAAATTATCCCACATATGTGCATGAATTTAAAATATAACAAGTCTGTGATCGGGAGTGAGCCAGTAAGTGTCTCTTTTTTGTAATTCTAGTTTTGGGAAACTGGAGGTTTTTTTTCAGGGCTGGTAAAATTAACTGCCAAATATGGTACTTGTGGTTGGGTTAAACTGCGCAACAAATTTGTCATGACCACCCACACGTACAGTGTACGTGTACATGTACATGTACATGTTGTACGTGTACGTGTACATGTACACATGTACGTACAATATTTAAATCTAGAGCTTTACGGTCTCTAGAATATCACAAACCACCTGATAAAAATATTAACCGGTATTTACTTCAAATGCATGAGTACATGTACCAGTAATTGTATGTAGTTTAAAAAAAAAAAGTAAACGTTTACTTGCCATAATGGACTACATCTGTAATCTTATATTTTCCGTATTCCGGGGTGCATTGTATTTTGTAAATGATTTATTTTTTGGGACCAGTGTAAAACAAAGGAGATCTCTTTGTATCAACTCTATTTTCATGGTAATAATTATAACCGAAACATGTACCTGTATAGATGTGGAATCCTATTTAACAAAACAAAAATGTTAACGATGTTTGTACTCATCTGTAATTATTCCTTCCCGGTACTGAAGTTCAATCGTCGTTCACAATTAATTAGAAACGACTATTTTAGAAGAAAAAAAAACTCTTTCATCTTCACCTGCAAGGGCTTTGAATGTTTACTTTTTGGATGTGTTCATCGTTGAACACTACATTTATTCTTTGGGCTTATGAGGTGCATGTACCCTGTTTTATGACTTAGGCAATCCCAGCATTTATGTCCGCGACAGAGCTTTTAAAGGGAAGATACAACATTTGCAAACATCAAAGAACGGAATGATCAAATTATCACGTTATACCTTACTGAATTGTTAGGGAATGACAGTCTAAGGCATCCTTTAAAACCATGGCTCCTGGTGTGCTGTCATTTTCAAGAAAAACTGTGTTTTTCCAAAGCTGGTCGGCCGACCAGCGTTGGAGAAAACTGGCTTTTTTTCAAAAACTGTTCCTACTTTTTCATATTTAGTTATTCTGACTTTTCTTTGCAATTGATTACACACCTGTGAATGGGGTTCAAGCTTGCTAGACTGATTCTCTGACCTTACAGTTCCCCAAAGTGTATTAATTGCTCCGTTTCATCTTAAGTGGGGTCAGGGAACCAGACTACAAGAATATGATAGGTTTTCTTGGTTTTTCCAGCATCTACAAGCCCAAAACGTGAATTAAGTCAGTTTAACAATATTTTCTATAACATACTAATCCTCCAAATCCATTTATTTCTGAAAATTGCAGCAAAAGCAAATGTTGTACCGGTACATTCCCTTTAAGGGCTCGGTGAGCAAACCTGAAAATGTATTTTTCAAATCTTATACATCCATCATCTAGTAGTGGTCAAGGAGATTACAGACTAGGAGTGTTTTGGAGCATTTCTCTGAATCATTAATTAGATATCATGGTTAATTGGCTCTGTCGCGGACATAACACTTCTTTATATTGCTGAGATTGCCCACTGTTTATTTCAAATAAAAAACACGAGAAACATGTACATGTAAAACTCCAGAGTATCTGAATACAAACGGGAGACCCAAAATGTGTTCCAAATGGTCCTTGGCATGGAGGCTTATAACTTGGGGGATGGTTTAAACATTGGTCGTAGCCGGATAATCAATAGACGCTTAATGTCCTTTGGTCGGACAGTTGCATGACATTGAGCGCAAACCAGACGGATATGCAGGAAATCCTTCTGGCTTATATTTTCATTACAGCTCTTCCCCTGATGGTACAAAGTAGTGTGTATTTTTAGAACTGACAGGCAGTTTTTCTTTCACCCTGGCCTACTACATGTAGTTTTATTTAAAGGCGTATAGGATCATTTGCATTTAGTATCAAAAAGCTTTTTTGGATTAACCCTCCTATGCAAAGATACATTCTGTGCCAAGTTGTCCTTTCAGTCAAAATCAATCAAGTGACTGTTTTCAACAGTTAAGAGCTCCTAGCCTACCGGTACATAAAGCAGGATTGACTGGCTGTGACTGTTTACGTAACTTGATACAGCTATGCTTTGACTGTAGGTGATTTATAAGCCAGCTGTGCCTACCAGTTTCCTGCTGTTGTCCGTTGACTGAATTTGACTAGTCACAGTGCTTGATCTGACTGTTGGCGAATGGCATTGTTTTTTTTTTGACTGTCTGCGACTGTTCAGATAGCAGAAGGGTTAAAGATTGTACTGGTTAAAACACCCTGTGAAATTATTCCGTCTGGCTTGCTGTCATTTAGAAGAAATCAAGAAATGTAGGTGATTTCCAACAATCAGTCAATTGACTGATCGTTGGAAATAAAGGGTAATAACAAAATCTTGGTTCGTTTTTCACTTTTTTTGTTTGTTGAAAAGTGTATTATCCACTGATCTGAAACTTCAGCAGGTTAGGTTTTGAACATTCATCTTTGGATTTTGGGTGGTGTTATTATTGGAAACAAACAAAATACATGAAAAGCAAATGATCCTGTTAGCCTTTGAAGCACCCCACTTTTGTACATGGTGTTCTTTCAAATTGGAAATAACAGTTGTTTAAATGCAACATTACTTGATATGCGATCAGTATTTTACTAGGGTAAGATTTGATATTTAAACAGTCCACGTTTGTGATATTTTTACAAGTTCATTGCATTCCAAATAATATATCATCAATTATTTGAATAGGACTATTTCAAAACAGCCCACCCAGTGTTTAGTCTTTGTCAAAACAAATTGCGAGTCCAGCTTCAAAATTTAAGAAAATTGTTCAGAAGAAAATGCACGTCGTGCACGTTGCAACTGAAATGGGATTATATTACTGCTGTGGCCACTCACGCAAATCGCAAGCACACCTACTGCGGAAAGAAACAAAATGCAATTGAAAAATTCCGTCGTGTAAAGTCGCACGCCTTGGGTCGCAACAGCTGTGCTCTTACTGCCAGCTCAGTTCATATGGCAAATGAAGAAAGAAAAAAGACGTCTATTCGCGTTCAGAATGTCTGGACTCGGTTTGAAATTGACGGCATGCTTCTTCGGAACAACTTGAGCGGAACAGCCAGCAAGACGTCAAGGCCCCAAACCGTGAACGTGATGCGCTCTTACGTATCTCATCATCTATCTCCTAAGGTCAAGATGCTTCCTCCCAAAAAAAATTTGCAAGAAAGGAATTCAATTCATGCTATTGCTTATAATTCCATGAATAATTTTATCATTATGAAGTTACATTATGAAGTTAAATCCAATGTCACATTCAAATATTGGTTGATCGACGTGCTGCATCTGTTTTTAATATTGGCTAAACTTGAAAAGTGAAAATACTGTTCCCCTTTTTTGAGGTTTTTTGGGGGTTTGAGATGCTGAAAGCCATCATTTTCAAACTGAAAAAAATCTCAAAAATGTGAACTGTATTTTCACTTTTCAGGCAGGCTTTTGAAATTGTTTTAACTCACACCTTTTTATTTTCAGCCTTCACATGTACGGAGAAATTCCTGCATTATGTAATGTCCGTGACAGAGCTTTTAAGAGCTCAGTGAATAAACCAAAAAAATGTTATTGTTTTCCCCTTCAAATCTTATACATCCATCATCTAGTAATGGCCAAGAAGATTACAGACTAGGAGTTTTGGATCATTTCTCTGAATCGTTAATTAGATATCATTGGTTAATTTGGCTCGGTCACGGACAAAACACTTTCATAATGCTAGACTTGGCCTACTACTGAAAAAAAGAAAGAAATCGAATCAAGCTACATCCAACAGCTTAAAAATCCTCGGGTCCCTGAACAAAAATAGTAAAATTTTATGGTCTTTTCCGTTTTGTATTTGCTAGCTGCCATGAGAATAGAAATGTGTATCTGTATTACAGATATACATGTACAATCATCAACACTACATATACATGCACTGTACATGCACTGTACATGCACTGAACCATTAAGTTTACTGTATACTCATACGTGAACATTTCAGGGTCAATTTCAGTGAATTTACACTGGCTACTGGGTATTTCAGTCTTTCGTTTGCGTAAATTATTCATCTGTTGACGTTAATCGTTGCGCGTCACTGAGCTCCTGGAGCTGTACGACTGTACATGTACACGTACCTTCAATTTTACTAATCGTAGTTGACGACAAGTGTGTGTACTTCAGTGCGTTGCGAATGCCCTCAACTGTTTCTGGGTAATGGATGAAATTTTCATTAGCCTATTGCTCGTCATTTTTTTTGTAAGCCTGGATGAATTGGCGTTGCTCGTTTTTTTGTCGTTGGCGTCTGTTCGATGGACACCTGCGTTCTCTTATGAA